CCCGGCTGACCCTCCCCGTTTGGGCCCCCCCCCCCCCCAGGCGAGCCACATTGAAGGGACTGTGAGATGTCCGTCGTTCAGGTACAACTCCCAGTATGGAGAACTGTGGGGTTTGTAGTTTAAAAATAATGCAAAAATCCCACCCCTGGTGGAGACTTTTCTGCAAGGATTTCTATACATTTCGGCAAAACGTGCAAGCTGGGAAAGAGCAAGAAGCCCTTGGCCGGATCTCCTGAAGCCCTTCGCTTAATTTTGGGAGCCCTCTGCCCACGACCATCATCACAGCTTTAGGCAGGAGTGATACGTGGACGTCGTGGTGCTCCTCGCGAAAGCCCCCACAGTCAAACCCACACTGCAAAGAAGGGGGGATGTGGCTTTTTGTGTGTGGGGGGGGAGAAGAGCAGGTGCTTCGATCTGTCCACGTCCACCAACAAAGAGAAAGTTGAGGGCTCTTTATTGCTCTTCCCAGACTCTGTGCATGACAAGAGGCGTCGAGGGTACACTTTCCCCAAGAAAAACCTCCAGATCCCAGGAGGAAAGGGAAGCTTTCAGGCGGTGAGGATGAGATCACAGTCCTGGTTTGGTGGAAGGTTCTTGGTGAGCCCTGAGTCCGGTTATGCCCTTGCCCTGGATGGGGGGGGGGAGAAAAGTCCTGACCCCCCGACCCCTGGAGGCAACTCAGTTCTTAAGAGCAGGGTTGATCCTCTCTTCCGCAGTGAAATCAGATCACTGGATGCTTCTCACGCCCATTGTTCAGGGGTCGTGGAGTGGTAGGACCAGAGGGACAGGGACCCACCCTGGGGCAAGGAACTGGCCGGCTGCCTTTCAAGGCCACATAAAACCTGGTATTCGACTCCCACCCTGTCCACAGAGCGAGACATTTGTCCGGACCTTTTTAATGTCCGTACACTTGCTGTTTTCAGTTTTTAAACTTTGTTTACCATTGGTGGAATGTGCCATGAGTCTTTTTCAAGGAGAAAAGTAGGGTAAAAATATTCTAAATAAATAAGTACTGGGGCAAGGGGAGGATTCTGTCCAGTTGTCCCCAGTGGCCACGGCTCTCCTGTATTTTTTTATTTTGGGGGGGGGGCAAGAGGAAGAAGGCTTAGTGAGAGAAGAAGCGGGTTCTTCAGGCGACCTCTCCCGCAGCTACCCAACTCCCTAGGGGGTTTGGAACATCTTTCCCGTGCTTTGCGACTGAAACGTTATCAGGCAGTCCTCCAGGTTACACAGCACTCTTCTTTGGGGCTGCATTTCTGTAGGGCTGGCGAAGGAAACCGCCTGGTGAAATAGGTTGCCTCGGGTTAATGGGCTCGGAAGGCAAACGAGACCAAAGTCCGCGCCTGTCCCCGGCGCACGTTTGCAGTCAGGAGGATAAGACGTTCCAGAAGATTAGCAAGGTCTCCGGGGCGCCTGAACTCTGTCCTGCCTTCCCTGGCTTGGGAAGGGGGCCCATTAAACCAAGCAGAGGCTCTCTGCTTTCCCCTCCAAAACATTTGGGGCAAAATGTGGGTTGTGGGCTGTGCAAAGTGGGGTCAAGCCAGAGAGCGCATGAAGGAAGGGTAGAAGAGAAAGAGGTTGTGGCGTCTCGGACGAGGAAGCCCCCCTCCGGCTCCCATTTGCCCCCTGCTCGCATTTCCTACAACGCAGGAGGGTTGGGAAGCCTGTTGCCTTCCAAGGGTTGATCGACTCCAGCTCCCATCACTCTGGTTAGCTTGGGAGGGTGGTTTTTGTAGTCCACCGCTCTAGGCAGGTTTCTTGTCTGTTTCTTAGATGGTATCTGGGGATGGTGGGTATTGGAGTGGGGTTGGTTGGGGAAGACTTTCCAAACAGCAGACCCGGTAGAAAGGGCTGGATGGGGGTGGTTCCCTCCGCCCCATAACTGGATGGGGAGTCGCGGTGACTGGAGTCCAGCAACCCCCCCCCCCACTGTTTTGGAAAGGCCTGGCTCATCCTTTGCGTAGATCCTCAGTTTCGTTGCCTCTGCATCCGTTCTTTAACAACTCAGCCGCATTGAGCTTTTTTGTTTTCATTCCCCTTAACTTTTGAAGGTGAATTCCTTTTCCTTTGTTTCTTTCAAGCAAGCCAAGATCAGCTGTTGGGTCAGCTGGTTGCATCTCCTGGCAAGTGGGAAAGATAGGCATTTTTAAAAAAGCTTTTGAAAAAGCCCCTCTGCCCTGCCTGTCTTTCCCACCGAAGGCTCTCCCTCCCCCTGTGTTTTGGAGAGAAAGGAGGGGGGGGAAGCGATCCTTACAGGTGGAATCCGGACCCAGCCTGCCCACAAAGGCTTTCTCTCAGAGGTATTTTTGGCCGGGAGCAGAATGGTGGGGACCCGGCGTTTGTGCCCGGCGGGGGCGGGATGGGGACACTGAGCTCTTTGTTCGGGCTTCTGGAAAGGAGGGAAGTCCCGGCCGAGACTGAATCGCACCCCCCTCCCGTCCCTCCCCTCTTCCTCCTCCTCGCCGAGGCTCCCTGAAAGCAGTGCCTTTCGGAGCAGTGGTTGCTGTATGGAGGTTTCAGGTTTTAGACTCCTGCACACGCGTGTGCACACAGACACACACACAAACATGCCCGTGGCCTATGCGTGTGTTGCATTTATATTTAGAAATGGCAATTCTGGTTTTGCTTGATTTGCTCCCCCCCCAAAAAAAGGGGTTCTTGGCCAAATAGGAAGCAAACAGTCCTGGAAATTTCCCGGGTTGGGGTGAGACTCTCACCCAGGACTTGGGGTTCAAGCTCTTGGCTCCACTGCCCCTCCCTGCCCACGTGCCTTTCTCAAAACGTGGCCTGATCTTAGGAGCGGCCGCTCAAAGGCTTCCCCGCCACCGTTCTGTGGCTCCTCTCCCCTGCCGTGCTTGGAGGAGCAAGGGCTGGCTTTATCCCTTTGCCTCCCCTTACAAGGGGGCCACGATGGGGGGGGGGGAGAGAGACCGACCCTCGTAAAGTGGCTGCCGCTCTCCACCTCGTGGCCGAATGGGGAGTGCCACCCTTTGGATGGTGCAGGATTATATATAGCTGGCTGGAGAGTTCAGTGGTTTAAGTATGGTTGGGAGTTCGAATCCAGCGACCCAGCCTGGGTGGCCTTGGGCAAAGGGCACAGCCGTCCCAGGGTTTCCCTGAGAGAAGAAAGGAAGGGGAAACCGCCTCCGAGTTACTCTCTACCCGGAAGACCCCAGAGAGGGCGGCCATGACTCAGAGCTGGCTTGGTGGCCCATGTGTTCACTCCTTTCTTAGCAAAACGAGCCATGTTTTCTGTGTTATTCTTCAACTGTTGCCTTGGAGGGGATCATTTTGAGGACGTATTTCCACCCCCTGTAGTTTTAAGTGTATTTAAAACAGTAATCGTTAAGTCCCTGAAGAAGTGATGCGGCCGGAAGAGGCGATGGGAGCCGGCCCCGGTTTTCATGACGAACCCCCTGGGCCGTGTGAACGAGAGGCTTCGAAACAGGAGCGACGAGTAACTCAACCCCCTTCGTCATGGTTAGGTGTCTTTTTTTCCCTAAGTCCAGACCACACTTCTGTCTACGGATCGAACGGGGCTGATCTTTCGGGGCAGAGGCTGGCATTCGAGTGGGCAGGGACTCACCTTCTCCTCTTTTTGGGGGCTGTGCTCTTTTACAGGAACTCTGACGGCCGGCGAGCACAACTTCTCCTTCCAGTTCCTGCTACCAGGTAAGGGTGGAAATAATACGCCGTCCGCCTCCTTGTCTTCGGTTTCGGGAGGGGAGCTGCCGTAGAGCGCCAGGACCCCCTTCTCTGCCCTTGCCCACAGCATCCCAGGGGAATAAAAACACAGGATTAAGTGTGTGCGCGCACATGACATATCTAGTCTGGTAAGGGATTTGGAGAGCGATCAAGGCTGAACTACTATAAGGGAATTTAAAACTGAACAACACTTCCCAGAAGTCTGGGAGCCATGGCCGTGAAAAATAGCATTATCGAACGGCTAAAACAGTCCAGTGTGGGTGAACATATGTGGGGAAGCAGGTTTAATTCAGCCTTGCCTTGCCTTTTCACCCTTTCCTTCTTTCCTTCATTATTGGCACTCCTGGGGTCCTGGGTTCGGATTTTGCCTTACCCAGTCTCTCAAGACAGCAGAGGCTCACACGCCCCCAACCCTTTCTGTTTGGAGGAGCAGGCTGGAAGGATGGAGTTCAAAGGCCCTTGTGGGGTGAGGAAGCCCCTGGCGGAACGGCGTGTCTGAGTTGGGCTCTGCTGAGCCTACCTCGCAGGATCGTAAGGACAAAATGGAAAAAAAACACCAACAAAATAACAGGTTGAATTTCTTTTTGTCGATGGAATATATAGATAAAGTATAAATAATAAGCAGTAACTGAAGTAAAGAGCAGCTTCTAAATACAGTGGTGCCTCGCTTAACGATTTTAATTGTTTACAAAAAATTCATCGCTATGGGAAAACATCGCTAAGCGAAACACGGTTTCTCATAGAAATGCATTGAAAACCAGATAATCCGTTCCAATGGGAACGAATTGCCGTCCTTAAGCGAAAATCGCCATAGGAAACATCGCTAAGCGAAGCGCGGTTCCCCAATTGAAATGCATTGAAACCTATTCAATGCATCTCAATGGGGAGGGGAAATTACAACAAATTTAAAAAGAGTTGGAACAAAGTCAAATTAGTTTAACAAAGGGTTTATTAAGTGCACTTATGATTTCAAGCATTCTAAACATTTTTTAAACATTTTTAAACGTATAAAAAACAGCCAACATGAGGCTGTCAAAACCATCATTAAGCGAAACAGGGGGACCCAAACTGTCATCGCTATGCGAAGCATGGTCCCAAACATCGCTATGTGAAAATCGCCCATAGGAAACATTGTTAAACGGAGCGCAAGATCGCTCCGAAAAAGCCATCACTAAGTGAATTCATCGTTAAACGAAGCGCTCGTTAAGCGAGGCACCACTGTAGTGTTGGAAAATATTCTGATGTCTTTCAAAGATATTCCCCCCCCCCAAAAAAAAGAAATTATCCGTTCTGCCTGAGTTTCTTAGTTCTATCCAAGGCTACCTAAGCCGTGATAAATCTTCAGACTTGGTTACAAAATGCAGAGCTGAACCTCCTTTTAAAAATCCGTCTGCTTTCCTTTCTCAAAATAACAAGCAGGTTTCTTGTCCTTGTGGCTGGGAAGGGCCCTGTATTTCTTTTTTCTTGCTGCTGTGCCACAGATGGCTGAGTCGGGAGGGGGGGAAATCAGAGGCATGTTGCTTGTCATTGTTTGCAAGCTACATTTCAATTGCATGTAAAAGATTTTATATTTTATTTGTGCAGGGCTGGCTTTTGGCACAATTTTTGTTGCAGAGTGTTGAATTTCTGGTTAAATTCCTCTCGCTGCACAGCAGAAGTGCAGGGATTCACAGAGCAGAATTAGCTTTAAGTTCCCCAGATCAGGGGTCCCCAACCTTGGGCCTCCAGATGTTCTTGGACTTCAGCTCCCAAAAATCCTGGCCAGCAGAGGTGGTAGTGATGGCTTCTGGGAGTTGTAGTCCAAGAGCATCTGGAGGCCAAGGTTGGGGACCACTGCCCCAGATCATTAGACCCATTTTTCTCTAATTTACATACTTACAGTCTCGGTAACTCACTCTGAGACATTAGGTGAAGAAAGAATAAAAAGGTTTCATTTACTTACATCAACAGATAACAGCCAACTAACAAAATATGGCTGCTTGCAGCAACAAGACTGCCACTGGGAAATATCTGAATGCCTTCGCGGGGCTCCAGTTTTGTGCAGACTCCCTATGAAAGACTCGTGAACGTGTGTTTTTTTACACAGCTGGCAAGGAATTTATTTGTCGTCTCAGATTTTGCACCCTTTTAAAATATAAACTCAACTCTTTTCACTAGATATCTCCTTGATCACTTTCAGGAGTTGATTATTCAGAAATGAATCTGTGTGTGTGTGTGTATGTATGTGTATATATGTACAGTACATCTTTTCACTAGATATCTCCTTGATCACTTCCAGGAGTTGATTGTTCAGAAATGAATCTTCTTTCATGATTTTTTTTAGCAAGCAAATATGTACTGTATATTAAAAACCTCAAAGTTGCAGGCATATATCGCTATTTTATTTAGATTTTATATATTGAAATGAATCTGTGTGTGTGTGTGTATGTATGTGTATATATGTACAGTACAGTATATATGTTTGTGTGTGTGTGTGTGTGTGTGTGTGTACATATACATATATATGTGTGTGTATATATATACATATGCATACATTTTTCAAAATCTACAATCTTCTTACCTCAAACTTCATGTATGTAGACAGTTTTTAATCTAAAACAAATAACTGTCTCATTTACCAAAATAGTATCTTCTATACTTTAGTTTTGAATTTAAACTTAATACTCAAGAGACGCAAGACTCAAAATACATTTTTAATGTCTTAAAAAAAACACCCAAATTCTTGAATGAATCTTCTTTCATGATTTTTTTTAGCAAGCAAATATGTACTGTATATTAAAAACCTCAAAGTTGCAGGCATATATCGCTATTTTATTTAGATTTTATATATTTGTGTGTGTGTGTGTATGTATATGTATGTGTATTTATGTACAGTATATATGTTTGTATGTATATGTGTGTGTGTGTGTGCATATATATGTGTGTGTATATATATACAGTATATAAATATACATACATTTTTCAAAATCTACAATCTTCTTACCTCAAACTTCATGTATGTAGACAGTTTTTAATCTAAAACAAATAACTGTCTCATTTACCAAAATAGTATCTTCTATACTTTAGTTTTGAATTTAAACTTAATACTCAAGAGACGCAAGACTCAAAATACATTTTTAATGTCTTAAAAAAAACACCCAAATTCTTGCACAGACTCCTTTTAGAAGTTACTTACAATCTATTTGATTAAATGTTCTCAAATATTATAAAATCATGGCAGAGGAGGGCATAAAGAAGTCCCCTCTTACGGCGTAATGCTTACCCCCTGCGGGCAGAATTTTTTCTCTCCCTCGCAGTGAAAACACAAAGCTCATGTCTTTCTCTCTTCATCTAACAGTTGGCCATCATCATCACCATCATCATGTAATCTTGTATTTATATCCTCTTGTTTTGGGGCACAGTTTAAAAAATAAAAAACAAACCTTTTGTCAATGGCTGGACTTTCTTACTGCTGGGTTTTTCTGAAGCTGAAAGGCACAGCATGCGATCAACCCCTGCTCGAGTGAAGGCCAAGGGCTGAGAAGCCCTTTTGGGTCTCTAGGTCTGGGCTAAATCCCCCACACACACCTCCCTTGAGCAATACCAGCTTGAACTTGTTAAATACAGCCCAATACAAATGTCTTTTTATACTCCATAGCAACGATTTTGGCTGCATGGATTATCGTCGCTATGCAGGGCACCACTGTGCCAATGTCTTCTTTTAATGAAATGTTTCTCCATTAAAATGTATTATTTTCACTCACCATCATTTTAATGGAAATTAACAATTAACCAACTAACTGGCAGCTTCGGACTACTTCAGACTCCTAGCAGGGAAAGGAGAGGGTGGGGGAAAAGGCTGGCAGCTTCGGACTACTTCAGACTCCTAATAGGCTAAAGGAGAGGGTGGGGGGAAAAGGCTCAGAGCAGAGAGGCGGGTCTCCCTTTGAATTCCAGGGCAGGGAAAGGAACTATTGGTTAGTGCTGTTAGTGATTGACAGTCACTTCAGCCAAAAAAAGTCCTGCCCAGCCACACTGAGGACAGCAGGTGAGGCTCTAGTAACTCCACCAGGTTTGTTGACAGTCACTCCAGCCCAAAAAGGTCCCGCCCAGCCGCACTGAGGACAGCAGGTGAGGTTCTAGTAACTCCACCAGGTTTGTGTATGAGTGTGTGTTTCTAGTGTGTAGAATGATAAAATTGTGTGTGCTTTTCTTTAAATTACCTCTGACCTCTCTCCTTTTATCCTTATTTTCTTCCTGTCCTTTCTTTTTTGGGGAAACTAGCTTCGGCCCCCACATCTTTCGAAGGTCCTTTCGGGAAGGTCTTGCACCAGGTCAAAGCGGTGATAGAGACGCCGCGTTTTTCCAAAGACCACAAATGCAGCAAGATCTTTTACGTCCTTTGCCCGCTGAATTTGAACGACATCCCTGAAATCGAGGTAGGTAAGGAAGGGAGGGAGGGAGGCCAAGACGCCCCCCCCGGCGCCTGGGGACTGAGGGGCTCCTCTTTCCTGATGCCAATCAAGTTTGAGACACGCTGTATGACGCGGTGGCCTGGTCTGTGGTCTGTTACCAAACACAGAGGACGTGCACCTCCGCCCGCTGGTGATTCCGCTCCCGGTTTTAATCTGGACAGTTCAGGTAACGTTCGGAGTAGCGTCCGGAACAACCTCAGTGTCCTTGCAAAATCGGAATGCTAGGGTCCCGCTGTTTCCAGATGTTGCTGGACTGCGTCTCTCATCATTCCGTCTCATGGGCTGTGATGGCCTGGCCAATGGGATTTGTAGTCCATCAAGATCTGTTACTAAAAGAAAGGCGTTTCCTGGCATTTCTTGCCATTCAGAGGCTTTTCTTGCTCTTAAAAGAGACAGGCTTGTATTACCCAGTTTGACAACAGAAGGCTTGGCCAGAATTTGGGAATGTTACTTCTTCCCTTCACCCCCACCCCAAAGCCTCTCCCAGCCAGCATGAGTGTAGGTAGGGTGGAGCGGAGAAGATCGGAAGCTGCCTTCTCTCTCCGGTTCAGAAGAGTCGACAGCTGTGGCCTTGCAGGGCTGGGGGCTGGATTCTCTCTCCTGTCAGAGCCCTCTGTCTGGCGATGCTGGAGGCTGGCCTGCCTGCAGAAGAGGTGGCTGTGCCCACCGTCTTTCCTCCCTCTGAGCGTGTGTAGCTGAACTTGTATCGCACGTGGGAGCCTGTTATATACATAACAGCCTTCTCGTGGATGGCTGAGATCCCTGGAGACTGAATTCAACACAGTTTCCACAGTAGATCTCCTACTTCACAATCTTTGTGACCAGGTTAGGGCAACCTGGAACCCCTGAAAAAGTTTCAGGTGACGGGCCCCATCACCCACAGCCAGCCTGGCCAATAGCCAGGGATGATAGGAGTTGTAGTCAAAACCGTTTGAAAATCATTGCCATGCCTACACTTCTTTTCTTTTTTAAAAAATACTAATTTAAGGGCAGGCAGGGTGGATGCATCCTTACCCCCCCCAAGTCTAATCTCTCATTTCCTTTTCTCGTTTTCTCTTCCTTTCCGGCAGCAACCCAACACCACGGCTATCACCAAGAAGTTTAGCTACAAACTTGTCAAAACGGGCAACGTGGTGTTGACGGCCATGACGGACCTCAAGGGCTACGTGGTGGGGCAGGTGATTCAGTTGCAGACCCACATCGAGAACAAATCCGGCCGGGACACGGGCACTGTGGTCGCGAGCCTCATCCAGGTAACAGGCAAAGTTTTCATCATTGTCATCATCATCATAGAGCTAGAAGAGACCCTGTGAGTCATGGGAGTGCAGCCCCTCTCAAGGGGGGCTCGGATCCACAGTCCGATGCCCAAACTTCTGAGCAATCCAGCAGTTCTTCTCGAAAGACTTCCAACAAAAACATTCTTTATCATTTCCCCCCCCCTCGATGTGGGGCTTCTGTTTCCTCCCGATGCCCCCCCTCCGCCGAAGGATGTTTTTTCAGACCTGAAGGGGTCTCCTGGTCACCTCCTCTTACATTTGCACGGGTGGATGTGGAATCCAGAGGCTCCCGAGTGGGGGAGGCGCGGATGTTGCAGGGCCAGGGAATCCACCCTGGGTTTTACTGCCAACTTTGGAGGGCCTGCTTAAAGGACTGCGTGCCATGGCTGGGTTTCTCTCCGAACAATCTGCTCGCCCTAACCTCAAGAATCAGGTCAGCACCCTGGATAGCTCCGGAAGACTAAAACCTGGAGCGGACGTCCCGTTCCCAAATTTCAGAGGTGCCCTTCATGGTAGGGGGTGGTAGGGGTGGACTTCCGCTTCCTGGATTTCCCAAGACTTCTCTTGGCAAGATCCTGGGAGTTCGAGTCCACAGACCTGTGTCTAGAGTGACCTGTGTTTTGCTCACCTGTCACCGGGCCTTGTCCTTTGAATCTGCATCGCATGCTGAGCCTCATTTCCTGCCTTAATGCTTGCTGGGAGTGTCAGTGTCGCTGCCTTCTGGGCACCTCCTGAAGAACTACCATTCCCGGGAAGGATTGTAGCAAGTTGATCTAGAATTGGGGAGACCTCCCGGGTGTTGTCGAAGTGCCATGGGCTATGCTTGTGAAGGCCCGAAGGGAATCCCTGCTCCCCACCATCACACATGGGCTGCACATGGGAGTTGTAGTCCCGGCGCAGAACTTGGAAACCTTAATTTTTGACACTACAACACCCCAAATCCCCCAAACTGCCCTGGCTACGGGACATGTTGGCTAGTGGACTCTGGCTGTTCTATTCCCTGCCATACCTTTCTGTTGTCTGATCCAATAATATCCAGAGGGCTTTAGGCTACCCACCTCATCGCAGGGGGTTGACCACTCCAGCAGTGAAGAGGCTGTTTCTTGGATATGGGACCAAGTTTGTGTGGATCGTGGAGCCTAAATCCAGTTGCTAGGCTCACCTAGAGTAGACCCATCGAATGCATGGCATTCGCATAACGGTGAGCTACATAGCTGCATCCCAGGAGGTATTGTGGCTCCATGTAATAGCTACACAAGAGGACAGCCCAATATGAGATAGGCTGACTCCCTAAAAGAAGCCATGTTGAGTTTGCAAGAGCTGAGTGAGAGCTGTTGAGAGCAGCGCATGTCGGGAGAGGGCTCATGCGTAGAATTGCCATGAGACAGCACAGTAACAACAGCAACAGCCAGCAGTGGGGGGTGCCATTCCCTTCCTCTGGGGGGGGGGAGAGCACCATCCAGCCCTACTAAGCCATCCTAGTGTTTGGACTTATTGCAAAATCTCTTGTCTTTTTTTTCCTTCCTCCCCTCCTGCTCCCAGAAAGTTGCGTACAAATCCAAGCGATGGATTTATGACTTGAGGACCATCGCGGAAGTGGAGGGCTCAGCTGTGAAAGCCTGGAAACACGCCGAGTGGAAAGAGCAGATCCTGGTGCCGGCGCTGCCCCAGTCTATCCTCCAGGGTTGCAGTCTCATCCATATTGATTATTACATCCAGGTAGGCATGACGGTTCTGTCACGGGTTGCGAACGGCTCCCGATACATCTAACCCTCTGAAAAGACCCATTTCAACATCTCCAGATCCTGCCTTCCCCATGATACAGTAGGTTCCCCGGTTTCCACAGGAGATCAGTTCTAAACCACCCTCTTGCTGTGGCCTGCCTTCCCCATGATACAGTAGGTTCCCTGTTTCCACGGGAGATCAGTTCCAAACCACCTTGCTGTGAATGCCAAAACCTGTGGATAATAATGAACTCTGTCTATAGCATGGTCTCTGGCTCCCTCTAGTGGACAGTTATGGTAATTACTTCGTAGAAACACGTCTTTCTTTTTTCTTCTTAATATTTTTTTCAATATTTTCAGATTGTAGATAAGTGAAGCCACAGATACCGATTCCGTGGATACAGAGGTCCTGCTATATTTAAGACAGCAACACAGACTCTATGGCTTCAGAATCAGCCTTTCCCTTTCCTTTTTTACTGTTGTGATGTAATACCTGAAGCAGTTCTATGTGCTCTCTGAGCGGTTTCCTTGTTCGGCTGGCCCCCGCAGGACTGTCCTGGGCTGGGAGGAGGCAGGATTAGGTGGGCCTTTGCTCCCGATCTGGCGCAGTCCTTCTGATGACCTCCCGTTGGGTCTGTGCTTTTTCATCCCCTCAGGTTTCTCTCAAATCTCCCGAAGTCTCCATCGCTCTCCCGATTTACATCGGCAACATTCCTGTCAACCGAATCCCGCTGAGCCCAGCCCGGTCGGTTCCCCACATCCCCTCGCCGGTGGTTCCCAGCGCGCCGCCTGAGGACGAGGAGGCTACGGGGGGCTACCTCCCCCACCCCATGGACAACGTCTCCATCCCCACCAAGAGCCACTCCCAGCAGCAGCAGCAGCCACCTTTCAGTTACGCGCCCGGCCTGAGCTTCCCAGAGGTCCGGCTCGACTCGGAGCAGACGGGCTCCCCAAACCACCCCACCCTCTGCCTGTCGACGGGGGCCACGGTCCCCTATTACGCCGAGGGGGCGGTGGTGCCCATTCCCACCGCCAGCACCCTCATCCTGCCTCCGGAGTACAGCACCTGGGGCTACCCCTACGGTAAGCGGTTCTCGGATGGCTAGTTTGACCGAGAGAGGCTGGACTCCAGAATCCATTGGGTGCCCCTTCCAGCTCTGACCTTCTAAGATGGATGAGCTGGCTGGATCGCTCACTGGTTTAGGGCTCTGGCTGAGGAGCTCGAAGTTGAGAGTTCAGCAGGTTGACAAACTTAAGGTGAAGATGAAAAGGAAGAGGTGCTGGAGTCGGAGAGGGTGCCACAGGGAAGGACTTACATATGTGCGCAGAAGTGGATTGGGATCCGGGAAGGCTTGTCCCGAAGGCAAGTGCCACCATAGGTTGCCTCCCCTTCTCTCTTGGTTTATTTTTTTCTCTCTCTCTCTTTAATTCTACCCACGTGCCAGGTAGCTGTTGACCTTGTAGGTTTGAAGAACAACGCCAGTTACCTTGAGGAAATGGCAGTGGGTCTTGGCTGTCCTTTTGGGGAGAAGGAATGCTTTCAGGATGCCTAGTCATGGAAGTTGTAGTCTCTTAACATCTGGAAGAGGAAGGTGGCCGGCTGGGTTTAGACTTGCCAGAAATGCCCGTTTCCAGCTCTGAAAGGGGTGTTGGTGGTGGATGGCAGAAGTGGCACCTGGAGGTTTCTACAGATGAAGTCATGACCATGTCTTGGGGTGTGGGGTTGAAGGGAGAATCAAGGAACTCCTTCCTTTGTATGTACAGTGGTGCCTCACTTAGCAATTGCCTTGTTTAGCGATGGGTTTTTTGAGCGATTTTGCGCTCCATTTAGCGATGTTTCCTATGGGGAAATTTCGCATAGCGATGTTCGGGACCTTGCCTCGCATAGCGATGACAGTTTAGGTCCTCCTGTTTTGCTTAACAATGTCCGTTTTGCAATTTTAAGTGTGTCTTAAAATGTTCAAAACGGTTTTAAATGCTTGGGATCGTTAGTGCACCTTGCAAAACCTGTGCAAACTTAATTTGGCTTTGTTCTGAGTCTTCGTTAATTTTTGGTGAATTCTTTTCTCCCCCATTGGAATGCATTGAACTGTGGGTTTGACAGCAAGGTGCACTAACGATCCCAAGCATTTAAAACCGTTTTTGAACATTGTAAGACACTTTAAAAATAGTGAAAACGGACATTGCAAAACCATTGGAATGCATTGAATAGGCTTCAATGCATTCCAATGGGGGAAACATTGTATCACTTAGCGATGTTTCCTATGGCTATTTTCACTTAAGGACGGTAATCCGTTCCCATTGGAACGGATTAACCAGTTTTCAATGCATTCCTATGGGAAATGGTGTTTCGCTTAGCAATGTTTTCCCATAGCTATGTTTTTTTGGGAACCAATTAACTTCGTTATGCGAGGCACCATTGTATACTGTTTTCTCGTAAACCGTAAGCTGGCTGGGGAGCTCAGTGGTCTAGTTGTCTGGCTGCGGGGAGTCCGATTTCCCCCTGAGCCTCACTGGCCTGGGTGGGCCTTGGGCAAAAGCTGCGCAGCGATGACCCCAGGGCGCCCCTGGGAGGAGGGAAGGATCAATCCACTTCTGAGGACTCTCTACCTCGGAAACCCCAGAAAAGGGTCACTGGGAGTCAGAATGGACATTGCGCCACCCAGTCGCTGTTTAGGTCTTGCAAACCACGCGCAGAACCGTAGTGGGGATGGGATAAGGTGTTGCCTAGCGTGGCTTGTGGCTCTTTGGTGAGGTCCTGCGCCAAGAGAGGCCGGACCAAGACATGGCCCAGCGCAGCAGGCGCAGCAGGTTTTACGGACTGCACGTTAACCTGATAGGCTCTTGGCCCTTCGCCGGAGTGCCAGTTACTGCAAGCCACAAAGGAAAGTTAAGACCACCTTGTTTGTGAACTGAAGTAACAAGTCAGTGAGAAAAAGGCCTTCCTCCGAGGAAGTGGATTCGCGTCACTCCCTGGCCCTGCAAGACGGAGGGGGAGTCCACTTTTAACTGGGTTTTCTTTCTCCCCCCCCTCAACAGAGGCGCCCCCATCATATGAGCAAAGTTGCAGCAGTGCAGCCTCCAGCTTGAGCAACGGGAACTAGGCTGACGAGCGGGACTCTCGTCAGGAAGGACGGACCATCCAAAGCCTCGCCAGGAGGGGGTGGCCTCCCTGTACGCCACCCTCGAGACCCCCTCCGGCAACGGCTGGCTGACCCCCCCTGTGGGTGCCTTGCCCGGCAGCGTCTGTCCTTGCTGCTTGGCTGATCCGAGCGACCGTGATGCCTTACCCGAAATGGGACTGCGCCGTCTTTTGCCTGGGCGTGTTTGTGTGTGCGAGAGGAAAAAAAATGTATAGACGTGGAGGTGAACCTATCCTTCCACGACAACATCCCTCGTGGTGTCTGTTGGCTTCGCAGACGGGAGCCAACGCCCCCCCCCCGGGGTGCCAACAGGTCTGCCTTAGCGGCTGGAGGATGGCCGAGCGTGTGTTAATGCTGGTTTGCCCTCTTTGGCTGTGGGGCTGAAGGAATAAAGCGACAGTGCCCTGAGGAACAGCCGGGGAGCAGCAGGCAGCATTCCACCGGTAGAGAGAGCAATTGCGGGAGAGCGATTCCCCCCCCCTTTCTTTCCTCTGCTTGAAGTTTAACACACGGCTTGTGTTGGCAGTCGCCCCTGCTGCCTACACAGAGGGTGAGGATGAGGCCCTCCCGATGGCTCTGGATGGCCTTTCCCATCTCCCCAGCTCACAGATTATAACCTAGCCTCCAGAGAGCTGGTTTTGTGCCTGGGGGGGGACCCTTCCTTCCAAATTGGGGATAGGATCATCCTAATGTTGACCGCTGCTGACAGTGTGTCTGCTTCTGTTTTTTGACGACAACTCCCCAGATTTCCAAGGCAGCCTAGCTATTGATGATGCAGGGATTTATAGTCTAAAAATACCAAAAAGGTGCACCTGAGCCATTCTTACTGGCCTTTTCACAGCTGCTATAAGCGATCTGGGGGTAGAAATACGCCTTTTCAACCACAGCCTTCTATCCCGTGGCACCTTATTGTGGTTTGGAGAAGTTGCTTATTCCAAAACCCGCAAGCCAGCCGGAGAGGGGCTTCTTGGCCACCTCTGTCCCAGGAAGGCTTCTAGGAGGGGGGGGAGAGAAACTTTTCCAAGCTCTGCCAC